ACTGCTATCCGCAACTGCCGCGCTGCTGCTCGCGGACGCGCACGCCGCCCTCGCGCTGCTCCCGCCCGCCGCCGCCGCGCGCAAGCCGCGCGCCGCCGTGCGCGCCCCCGCCCCCGCCCCCGCTCACGCTCACGCTCACGCTCACGCTCACACTTGCGCTGTGTTTCGTCTGTGTGTATTGTACGAGGAGCGTGGGGACACCGTAGGTAGATAGGTAGGTATCGTAGCCGGTCGTGGCCGATTGTACAGTAAAGCATTCCTCGCTGCATCCATCATAGTCTCCGCTATCATTGCTGTACCAGGCGTGCGGCCACGTGGGCGCACGTGTTCACGTTGTACTGTACTCAGGTGCACAGAGGGCCCAGGCCAATAGAGAGCATACGCGTTGTACACTGTACATGTGGGTGAGAAGTTAAGATGTGGTCGTCTCGTCCATACTTCGAATCGCCTTTCTATCTTTCTACCCTCTTCGCCATTCAACCTCCACACACCCTTTCTAATTCTCCATTTCTCAACACTCCTCATGTCAACAACTCATTTCTACACTCCTTGTCCCCCAATCTTCTGCTACGGCACAACTCGCCCAATGCACGCAACCAATTCCCAAAAAAAAAACATCCCCTTTTCGTTTCCGTCTCATGGCACGGAGAACAAGCTATTGTAACCTCCAAATACTTGACACAACACAACAAAATCCCGCACCCTTTCTCACTCACAATTCAGAGACCAAAACTCATTCTCATCATTCAAACTGCTGCCGGCGCCGAATGCTCTTTTCCATCTTCGAGTCCAACCGTTCCCATCAAGTGCCTCCCACCTTTTTCTTCTCTTTTCGCACCTTCACGAGATATCCTTTCATTGCAACCGTCCCCAACCAACTCTGCATCTTCAGAAACAAAATCCATCTTTACAACCGAACCCAAAAGTCTGCTACTACTACTGCTTACCTCTCGATACCTGCTGTAGGTGCCACTTTTTCATCTCTGAAATCCGCCACAACTTTTTTTGTCACTACTACCGGACCACCCCGCCCCCTTCTATAGCTTGCCAATGGCCTGCTTTTATTACTTATAACCCCCCGCATTTGCTAGGTACAAAAAACCCAGTCCTATACCTTTTATGACACTGATCCACCACCACCATAAACTTCCTTATCAAGTCTCATCTCCTAATTCCTCGTCACCTACATCTTCCCTCTCATCACACTCTTTTTTTTGGTCTTTTAAGCCCGACAGACTAAAAACCCCTGTCCTGCCCCAGTGACCCAGGCACGACGCAGTTTGCGGCACCCGCGTGGAATGTATTCGTCCCTGCAGGGCACGCACTACACCTCTCCACTCCACATCTACTAAACTTCCCTGCAGAGCACCACTCGCATGTCTGATTTCCCGTCATTCCTCGTTCGCGAAACGTTCCTGCAGCGCATTTCGTACACCCCTCTACACCCGCCACTCCTATCGTGCCGGAACCACACCCGCGGCACATCCCGTCGAACAGCTCCCGTGCATCGAAGAAGCCTGACACGCACTTGCATTCTTCATCCCCCCAGATGAGGCTATTGCATGGCGTGCACTTGCTGGCCCGCCCACCTTTGCTCTCAAATTTAGTTGGACAGTGTTTGCATTTTCCCGTTTTCGGAACAAGCCTATGCAACGTTGAGCACGGCGGTTGCTCTGAGACATCTGACCCATCGCAGTAGAAGTCTAAACGATCGTAATTCCTCCTTTTCATTCCCCTCGCACATCCCGTCGCCGGAAGAATGCATTCGGAGCGGAAGGAATTTGGTACTGTTCCCAAAGGACATATCACACATTTCGTTTGTCCCCGACGAGGCTGAGCGCTTCCCGGTGGGCAAGGTCGACATTTCGCGCTTACCGGACGGTCGGAGAACGATCCGGCGAAGCATCTGAGGCAAGAGCTACCATCTGTCACGTCTACCCCGGAAAACTCGCCACTTCGAAAGAATCCCGGTGCGCATCGTTCGCAACGCCCCGCTGGTGTCCTGGCAAAGCCCAACTTGCATGTACATGATTCTGTGAAAAATGTGTCATACGGCTTTCCAATCGGACGTATCTTACCCCGCGGGCACCGTACACATCTGGTGTCAAGCCCTCCTTTGCTTTGAGTATTACTCGGACACTGATCGCACCTACTCTTCTTTCGATTATACCGCTCAGACGTCTTGCAACGCTGACACGCTCCCCGAAAGTTGCGGAAGAAGTTGGAAGGGCATGGTGTGTCATCTGGTTCGCAGGATGTAGCGCCCGTGACAGAAGTGTTTTCCCCTGGTTGACATCTTTTACAGCTACCGAAAGTGCCTGCTGTCCCTGCAGGGCTTGGGACGCACATTGTCGCGCCGTCTTTCTTGTAGCCTCTAAAGCCATCTGGGCACCCATCGCAGAAACCAGTGCTTCCATCGTTGAATAGGAACGAGCTGCATGTCCTGCAAATCCCGTTAAAATTGGCATTGCCTTTTCCAGGAGGGCAACGCTTGCACGACGATGCTCCTACTCCAGAGATTGTACCGTCTGGACAGAAATCGCATTTCAGCGAGTTGGGGCGGGCGGTGAAAGAACGTTCTTCACACGGTCGACATTTGAGTTCAAGCGGTTCAGTCTGGCATCTACCGAATACAACACAGACAACGCAGACCATCTCTGGACCAACGAAAACCTTTACCCCTTGAGGACACTTGGAAAGGAAATTGCCCGCTGGACAGGACAGGCATCGATCAGCCCCTTCAGGAGAGCTCTTCCCGGATGGACACGGCTTGCATACAGCGCTAGACTTGGCGCCTAAGGTTGTGCTGAACGTGCCAGACTTGCATGGTTTGCATATGTCAACACCAGGTGCCCCCGTAAATGGGTTAAAGAAGCCTTTTGGACATGGAATACACTCTGAAGCGCCTTTCTTGTGTTGGTACGTCCCCTGAGGACACGGTAAACATCTCATTCCCTTGCGGAAAGTTCCAACATCGCATTCTGGAACTGCAGCGTGTGACAGAGCCACAAATAAAGAGAGAGCAAGAATCAAAAATGAAGTAGTTACACTTGCCATCGTTGTGGTGATTGTTGAACGAAATAGTGTTGTAGGTCTAATTGACTTGGAGACATTTGCTGACGAACTTGTGCATGCGGCTCAAAATCGCTGCTACTGTAGAAGGACTCTGAGAAGGTCTTTCGCGTGTGTTCTATGTTCAATTTGTAGGCGGAGCTGTCACTAAAATGTACGGTACCATTCCAAGCTTCTCGCAGAAGACTTCCTGTGGTGTTCTAAAACCCTCATAGTTGCATCTTCGGCCTTACAATGGAGAGAAGGCGGAAAGAATACTGTCAACACCATGTTAGATGCAATTAAAGAGGGTTGCCCCGATTAACAAAGTGAAACGTCTTTCCGGCCGCAAGGCTCCTTGCTGGACATTTTTGTTTTGACTTTATCTCGTCAGAATAATCAAAAAAGAGGGCTCTGCACATTGGATCTATCTGGAGCTATCCTGCCGTTGAGATATATCCAAATAATAGCAATAGAGCCCGTTTAGTGACGTACATTGCGAGAGTATCACCCCCCAAAGATAGCAGCAGGGAATCTTATTAGTCGAATCTCATGTATTGCTCGTTTCGTTCAATAGTCAATACACGATTTGATTCTGCACTTGAGTCGAATAGGAAGTACTGAGCAACGACTACGAAAGTATGTAGTCCTTTTTGAATCCCTCGAGATCGCCTTAATAGTCAACATCTCGGAAGACACTGGCGAGCACGAACCCCGTCGCCCCCTCCTCCTCTGCGGCGTCAAGAGACTGGGAAATAAGTTTGCCCCTCCTGAAGTTGCAAGCCATGTATCACTCCAACGGGGCCCTGTATGCACAATTTGACTCGATGTGCCCATGTAACGAGGAGGGCGCATAAATATAGGCGACTGCAACCTCCATCACCACCGCCTCTTCCCCCCTTCACGCCAAGAGATTATCAAATGAGGTCGTAATTCCTGTATTTGCAAGTCATACATCACTCCAAAAGCACCTTGAATGCACACCTTGACTCGATGCGCCCACGTAGAGAGAGGGGACGCTACACCTCCTGCTTATATCGACTCTTTTTTTGCATGCGTTCGATTGCTTGAGAAGCAATATTTCATTGGAAGAAAGACACAGAGGGGAAAGTGCTGGTCATATATCCACATCTCCTTCCAGATACGGGCATGCAATTCAACTTTAAAGTAGTAAAATAGCATGTGTAATATTTCTACCCCTTGTCTGGCTGGAAAGAGGCCATGTTTGGTCGAAACTTGCCTTCCATGCTACCTACTAGTGATGCAATCTCGAAACCCTCCACGATGCTGGGCAAGATCAGTCTGAAATCTGTCGAAGGCGGCCACATCCGGTTGTGCCAGTGCATGATAAATGATGCTCTCTAGTTGCTGTCAG